TACAATTTTTAAGCTTTTCTTAAAGTTTAAGTGGAGTTTAGGCACAAGTTCAACATTCACAACATATAGCAAGCAAGCATGCAAAGAGTATATGAGCAGCGGAAAGTAAAGCATGCAACTTGCAAGAATGTAAAGGGAAGGGTTTTGAGGATTCAAACGCAATTGGAGACACGGATGTTTTTGGCGTGGTTCCGATAGGTGGTGCTATCGTACATCCACGTTGGTGGAGACTTCAACCCACGAAGGGTAACGGTTGCGCGAGTCCACGGAGGCCTCCACCCACGAAGGGTCCACGAAGAAGCAACCTTGTCTATCCCACCATGACCGTCGCCCACGAAGGACTTGTCTCACTAGCGGTAGATCTTCACGAAGTAGGCGATCTCCTTGCCCTTACAAACTCCTTGGTTCAACTCCACAATCTTGTCGGAGGCTCCCAAGTGACACCTAGCCAATCTAGGAGACACCACTCTCCAAGAAGTAACAAATGGTGCGTTGATGATGAACTCCTTGCTCTTGTGCTTCAAATGATAGTCTCCCCAACACTCAACTCTCTCTCATAGGATTTGGATCTAGTGGAAAGAGGATTTGAGTGGAAAGCAACTTGGGAAGGCTAGAGATCAAGATTCATATGGTAGGAATGGAATATCTTGGCCTCAACACATGAGTAGGTGGTTCTCTCTCAGAAATGGTAAGTTGGAAGTGTAGGTTTAGTCTGATGGCTCTCTCCACGAATGAAGAGGAGGTGGAGGGGTATATATAGCCTCCACACAAAATCTAACCGTTACACACAATTTACCAAACTCGGTGGGACCGATTCAACTGACTCGGTCGGACCGATTTAGTAAACCTAGTGACCGTTAGTGATTTTCGGTGGGACTGACATGCAACTCGGTGAGACCGATTCGGTTAGGGTTAGGGCATAACATAATCTCGGTAAGACCGATTACACAAACTCGGTGAAACCGATTTTGGTAATAAGCTTTCCAGAGAGTTGGTCAGGTAAACTCGGTGGGACCGATTTGCTCTTTTCGGTGAGACCGAAATGTTACAAAAGGGAAACAGAGAGTTTACATTGCAATCTCGGTGGGACCGATCTGCTTAGGGTTTGTGGCAGTGGCTATGACTTTTGGAATCGGTGGCGCCGGATTGGAAGAATCGGTGTGACCGATTTTGGCTTTGGGTTTAGGTCATTTGTGGATGTGGGAAAGTAGCTGAGGGTTTTGGAGCATATCACAAAGCACATGAAGCAAGAGGCTCATTAAGCAACACCTCATCCCTCCTTGATAGTATTGGCTTTTCCTATAGACTCAATATGATCTTGGATCACTAAAATGTAAAATGAAGAGTTTTGAGCTTGAAGCTTGAGCCAATTCTTTGTCCTTAGCATCTTGAAGGAGTTCCCACATCCTTTAGTCCATGCCACTCCATTGTTAAACTTATCTGAAATATACTAGATAAAAGTGTTAGTCCAACAAGAGATATGTTGACATTAATTACCAAAACCACCTAGGGAGCACTTGTGCTTTCAAACCGGACGGAGGAGGAGCCAAAGGCGTTGATGAAGGGGCGGAAGGGGGAGGAGCGGCCGCGGGGAGACGGGGCCGGGACGGCACGGCGAGTCGCCGGCGCGGCCAAAGCCAGCACAGGGACGGAGCCGGTCACCGGGCGGAGCCAGGAGGACCACGCCAGGCCGAGGTCAGACCGACCGGCGACCCCCCAGGAGAGCCTGCGGTGGCGACGGCTGCCAACACCACGCAAGGCAGCACCTTTCGCCCCGGCGGACCAAGCCGGGTTCCGCACCGGGGCCGTCGGCCGCGGCCGCCGCGAGCCGGCAGCAGAGTCCTGCGCACGGGGGGCTGAGCCACCGGCCACGTCGGGCGACGCAGCAGGCCGAGGCGCCAGGGAGGGGGCTGGCCGGAGGGTGGCAGCCTGGCAGGGGAGGGGGGCGTCGTCGATCATGTCGGCCCAACGCATGCGGCGCGGGGCGACCGGCGCGGGCGGAGAGGGCTCCGGCACGGGCGGGACCAGCAGCGGGAGGGGCGGCGAGGGGGCCGGCGAAGGGCCAAGGGGGACGGGGTCGGGAGGGCGGCGCAAGCGGCCGAGGGAGGCGCGGCGCCGACGCCAACGCCAACGCAATCGCCAGAGCTCACCTCAATCGCCATCCTGGCTCCGCATGTAGTGTTTGAACCGGATGTTTCCCGTCTCTGTAGCTAGATCAACACAATACGCAAATATAGTCGCCCATTCTATCCATTAAGTAGTCGTGTCATCACAAGCTTCGACAACTTCAATACGACCTAATTTGGCAATAATGTGATTAATTCCCATCGATGTCATCAAACTTTTTTTTGCGGGTGATTGATGTCATCAAACTTAATCATTCCTTCATAGAGCTTCCATCATCGATGCTTCGGCTGCATAGGAAACAAAATGATCCCGAGGCAGCAACAAAATTACCATATACATCACAGATTACTGCAACACTTGAGCCAGGCCTTACATAGGGACGGAACAAAGCATTGACGTTCAGTTTAAGTAGGCCCATTGATGGTTTGCTCCATTTCACATTTTTCCTAGGGCAACTCTCGGTACAGTCTTGGCAAAATTGTTACACATGGCTAAAATAGATAATTTCGAGTTACCTATTGGCAGGGTGTTCTCCATGAGTAACCGATCTTCTGATCCACCAAAGGTACCAGACCGAAATTAATATAATTTCAGACAAACCCACAAGTGGCATGCCAAGAAAATGCCCCTCCGACGAATAATTAGCTCTTTCAACACAGCTGATCCGATCTTCCACAAACGAAGCATTAACAGTGACAGATCAAGAAATTTTCATAGTTCCCTATCTGGGTAACACTCGAAGAAAAGATGCATCAAATCTTCAGGAACAGATGGCAAATAGGAAATTGTCCATCATTACCAATATGCTGGTTACCAAGAGTTGACTTCACTGGGGAAGCACTGTGCATGACCTTTCATATGATTTTTTTCACCTTTCCAGGAACTGCAAACTTCCATATCGTATGCCAAATAGGATTAGTACCACTGGAGGGCGAAGACGTATTACCAAATTGGTGTCTCTACTGAACGTGATACACAAATTTTACGGAGAACGTTCCAGACCGGTTATAGTGTCATGCCACAAAATCATCAAAACCATTTGGACCGAGGAATCCTCAGAATTCTGGAAGCATCAACAGGTGAAAATATTGAGTAGATCAGGTTCTCCTCCGATTGCCCTGAAATAGGATCAATTAAGTCTGACACCTTGCTAACCAGAATACCTCCCCTCAATGTCAGAATTTTTCTATTTGGACTAGAGGCAGTCCATGGATCCCTCCAAATATCAATAGATTCTCCATCTCAACTGTTCAAATGCATCCCCTTCTAAAGTCTGGATACCATCAAATATACTTTGCAATGTATGATGGGCCTTTTTTCGGATCCGCTTCAAGAATGCTTTGGTTTGGATAATATTTGGCCTTCAAAATCCTTGCGCATAGTGAATCATGATTAAAATAATGATAACCCCTATATCCAAGTCCTTCATGTTTCTTAGGAAACAAAGTTTTCACCATGCAAACTAATGCATTTTTCTGTGTAGTCAATTTGTTGCAATCCACCCCAACTCCCAACCCTAGCCACCTCTGCAAAAGTGTTCCTACAAGTCACTGCCTCATCCCCCTCCTTTTCCTTGTCCGGCGGCCTTGTCGACGGCAAGAGGAGTAGGGACCAGTCCGTCTTGTATCCTATTTCTTAGGCTTTTGTTTCCCTGACGACGTCGATGATGTAGTGGCAGCGATGGCGTGTTGGAATAATGTCTCTATGGTCTCTGCCTACCTCGATGCCCAATCCGGCGCCTACGAAGGCATGTGAGAGTCTGTGTCCCCAGACTATTGGCTCTTTTTAGATCTTGGCAGACGATGTGTCATTCAAGGAGAGATATTGGCTGGCTATTGGTGCGCGACTATGGCATCTTCTTTCGTGTTGTTCTGTGGCATGGTCTAGCTTCTACAACCCTCTGAACTGATGGTGATCGATTGCAAGTGTGTATTGCGTTGAGTGATGCTCCAACTGATGTTGCTTCAGCCATTTGTAGATCTCGTCTCAAGGAGCGAGTGACTATTGCAGTCTTCAAATCCTGGTACAACAAGGGGTCTTTGCAGATGTCCCTTTTCTTTACTGTCTAGTAATAGGAGGAAGAAGAAGGCTAGTATGATTTCCAATGATATTTATCAGATCTAAGGGTGTCTTTTCTTTAAAAAAAATGTATCTCCTCCCCGTTTCATCTTTGCAGCAATGGAGGAACTCAATGACGACAAGCCTGTGCTATGGTCGTCTTCATATCCAGGGAGACTTTCTAAGCCAGCAAAGTCTGTAGCCTAGTGCGTACTCAAACCATGAAACCTCCCGCTCACCGGCTCTGCCTGTGTCCTGTGTCTAAAGCTCTGTTCTGCAAAGGAGGCAAGTAGCATATTCACAGTTTGATCACAACGATATGTGTATTAGTATTACATAACAGAACACTCACAATTATGTTCGTTTTACAAAAATAAATAAATAAACCATGGCCTATGTAATTTTTCAACATTCAAACAATAGATTCAAGTTACGAGATCCTATCAACGCAACATTTAACATTACCAGAAAATATAATTGCCATAACTTTGTTCATGCGATTTTATAGCATAGCGACGGCTGCTGAGCTTGTTAACATTTAGCTTGACTGTAGAGGGAACTTTCCCCACAATGTATCTTTCGATAGCCCTGAGCCCTCTATAGCCTTCGTCGAGCATACGCTAGTTTAACACTGTGTAGCATCTAGCAATTCCGTCGTCAAAAGTCCTATCAAGGTCTTCAGAGCCATTATCACATATGGTGTCCAACGTAAGGCACTCGAGTGATGTTGCATTCTCAAGAATATGACAGGTTAGCTCGACCATGCTCTTTGCAGCGCAGAAGCCCTTGATCGTCACATTCTTGATGTTGCCATGCTAGTGTTCAGGCATCTGCCTCAGATGCGGGTCTCCGGAAATCAATTCCTGCCTTACGCTAGCCTGTAATACCTGTGTGCATTGGAAGAACATGCATGCTACAGTTAGTAGTTCCTCTACATGCAGATGCTGATATCATTGTAAACTTGAGGAGAAGTGACTTACAGCCAAGACAAAATTCTCCAAGACAGGACAAGCATCCAGAAAAGAAACGAGAGAAAAATAATCGTAGCCTGGGGAAAAGCCCTTCATCCCTCGATCATGAAGAAAAATACGCAAGTTCTTGAGGTAGAGGAATTTGACAGGCAAGATTGGCGTATTGAACACCTGCATAGATATGTCAAGGATATGTTATAATTGCTGCCATATGAATAATGTGTGATGATGAAATCTATTGCTAGCCATCCTTTCAAAGTACTAATGAAAAAAAAAACTTGGGGATTTTTACCTCCCCGGTCGATTCTAGGCTGAGGGTTTCAAGATTTGGCATAATGGATGGAAGCTTGGCACGAGCATAATGAACAAGGTTAGATTCGTAACAATCCTGCATTTGGAGGTCCTTCACTTGCAGTACATCTCCAACTGGAACTTTCTCTGGTTGGCTATCGATGCGAACAATCCAAAGATTTGGAGCTTTATTTTCTATCACTTTTAGAGCTACGCACTGCAGCACCGCCAGGCAGTTGAGCCTGTGTAGCAGGCAAGGTATCTTCAGGTGAATGACGTTACCGCATTTAGTGAGATTCAGCTCCTCCATAGCAAAAGAATTAGAAAGGAAGCACCCTAACTCATCTCCTGTAATGTCCACCTTAAACAGATGCAGCCTTGTCAAGTGAGCAAGTCCGGCAACAGGGTGGAAGGCACAACTGGCGAGGTGAAGATGTCGAATCGAGTTTCCACTCCCGTTGGAAAAAACTGAGCAGGGGAAGTTGTAAGACACCCATTCGTACCCGTAGTGAGGCCCGTATTTGTACTTTCTCCGGTGCTGTCGTTTTAGGCAAGAATAGAGTCAAACATTTCAAATTTTGACTACTAATATCTCCACAAATAGTTGGATTGAATAATTCAAAAATCATACTATCATATATGTGAACTTGTCTCGACAAATACCTCCACAGTACCAGAATTTTATTGGATATTATATAAACATAATGTAATAAAAATTGATGGTAAAAGTAGTAGTAGTATTTAGGATGGCATTGATGTCCAGAACAATAGCTTTCAGAAGACGAGAGAAAGTAGTATACCATTGGTACTGAAAGTACGACTTCTTCAATCCCCGGAGTAACGGCAATCTGAAGCCACCTGTTCAGATCATGAATGTTGAAACCAGAACCACAGTGATGAAGCTTGAATGCCTTCACACCAACGCCCGAGTGTTTTTTCAAAACGCGGTAAACTCTGTTTTGGAAAGTTCGTGCAAGTTCAGGTTTTCGACATGCATTTCCAGCCAGGCCGAGTGTTTCCTCTGTGAAGGTGAGGTTGGGACGGCGTGTCCAGGAACTTAACAACGCGCGAGATACACAACCAGCTCGAGCAGCATCCCGCAGGGGCAGCAAGGAAAGGATACGATCCCATATGTCCTGCATACACATGAATGGGAGAAGGGTTAACATTCAAATTGTGGAGGCGAGCCGATCCTTCAACTAGGGGAAATAGGACGATATGAAGTTGACATGACACGCCAGGTGCTCAGTGCATTGTGTGCTAGAACATTACAGAGTAACGTAGCCCAACGGAATGCCAATGTGGTAGGTACATTAAGAATTACATTGAGAAGTATTCTTTCCCCGACAGTGTCACTGGTTGGCAATATCACACACACACACACACACACACACACACACATGCTATTCTTTACTTGTTTGTAGACAGCATAATAGATCCTCTAGTGGGAACCAAGAAACTAGAAAAAATTCACCTGTATTTATTACTTGTTCCTAGAAAGCATGTTGCAGTAAAACCTTGAACAATCCAGTAACACTTTTGCTCAAGTTCATGAAAAGTTAAATCTTCAATTCTGAAACTCTGAAAGTGCTTCTAAGCTCTCTAAGAAGATACACATTATTATCCTGAACTACTTTTCCACAACTAAGATTTAGCCAGTAGCATAGTTCAAACGATTAGTCAAATCGAGTAGTCGGAAGTTGGATCAGTCCCAACGACGACAAAGCTAAGTTACATTGTTTAGCTACAAAAATCATGGGCGTTTTATAGGCGGACGCACCTCTGGAAGCTCTGGCACTGAATGCCTCCTCCTTTTGGAGGCTTGACGTGTCAGGAAAAAATAGCCTTAGGGTAGTCAATCGTAAGGGCCTAATCTCTGACTAGATCAACACATTATGCGGAAGCGTGAGGACTTACAGGTGCTTGGAGAAATTCCATGGCGGCTGCCCGATGCAACCCCCTGTGTAGACCATGGCTGTACCTTGTGATCTCCAGCAACAGGAGATTGTCAGGGAAGAGAAAGGCAGCAGCTGAATGATGCAGATGGCAGCAGGAATGCCGCCAGCACAGACCTTGCGGCGGCTGGCGGTGGTAGACGGTCTTCTGGTCATCAGCTCCCTCTTTTTAGGATCGGTAGTTGGACTTAGAGGTTTAATTCGTACTTATGTGTGTACTCTCCTCAAGAGGTACGTGACTCTTCTTTATATATGAGAGGGGCTGATGGGCCAGGGACCGAAACCAAACGTTGGTTCTGGGTGTGCCCGATCAGAACACCATCGTGGGAAAAGACTCCCCCTTTTCTCTCGGTCAATAACTGCCTGAGATCAATTCCAACATGACGAGCATCGTCTTCTTGTTGACAGGGCGAGCGCTTTCTCTTGGCCACCGGCGCAATCGACGTACCTGCAGCACACCGTCCATGGATGGTCATGGATAGTGCGGACATTGGCATGAGTTGACAAGAAAACCCCAGGTCTCATGCCACGCATGTTCAGTACCATCTCCAACAGGGGCATGTTTGCACAAGATCAGAACGTAGACGCGATGAGGGGAGCGAGAGGCGGCAGCTTACCACGACGGGATCGGGTCAGCCCCATGGTACCACGGCGGCGGCGGCGGCGCGGCGATACCTCCTGGGGTCGGCGCCTCCCTTGCTCGCTCGCTCGCTCTATCTAGGGTCGACATGAGATGAGTTTTTTTTTTTTGGATAATACTTACACGAGAACTACCGAGCAGGCCTCTAACTACACGGGCCGTAGCCCGACAGCAAGTTCGCACAGAATACAGCCCATCCAACAAAAGGCCGGCGCCTGGAAGCCCGTCACCTCTTTGAGGCCCTCGCCGTCGGCCGTCGTCTTCCTCGGCTCCGTCCGGCGTGGCTGCGTGGTGCGCGAGCCTCAGCTCCTTCCGCCTCCACCACCCCTGCCCCGTTCTGCCCGAGTTCCCGCCCCGCCCTCACGCCTCTCGCCGCCTCGATCCTCGCGGCCTACCTCCTCGTGCTTCCGGCGTATTATCGTCTTCCTCCCTGCCGGATTTGCTCGATCTGGAGACCCAAATCCGAAGGTGCGAATCTCCCGTTCCCTCTGGTGCTTAATGTTAATTGTTCATCAATAGCAGGTTGGTTGTTCTTGTTCATCAACGTGCATTTCGAGCATACATTGCTCTTGGCCTCCAGCGTTAGAGTTTACGTGTGCGGTGGGCTTTTGAGTACATCAAGTAAGCTGTGGCTAGTGGCTAGGTGACTTTGTGGCTGCCAATTGCTACCATAACGTTGTGCAGAAAGGGGTCCGTGGTAGCATAGAGCTCAGTTTTATGGTGACTGGTTGGCTGCTCATGCTCGAAATGTTTATGATTTGGGAGGGGAATTCAGTTGTACTAGCACATTAGGTGACCTTCACACGGATAACTTGAATTGCGTATGCAGTTTCTTTATAGCATATTCTTTCAAGTATGTGCTCAACATGTTGGAACTAGTAATTTGATATATTCAGATAGGGTCCTTTCTTCGTTCCATCAGAGCTCAAATAGAGGGATAATTTGCCAATGGTTTGGATGATGTGTTCATTGTGCAATGGTGGGCGGTACGGGAGCATTGAACGATTCTAAGCTGACACAGCGCAACAACATTACAAAGATTAAGGCAGCCCGGTGCATGTAGCTCCCGCTTGCGCAGGGTCGGGGAAGGGTCCCGACCACTTTGGGTCTATAGTACGCAGTCTTTTCCTACATTTCTGTAAGAGGCTGTTTCCAGGACTTGAACCCGTGACCTCATGGTCATAAGGCAGCAGCTTTACCACTGCGCCAAGGCTCCCCTTCAACAACATTACAAAGATTGGTAGCACTAATCACTAATCAGCTTGCCACTCACCAACTGACATTGACATTCCCTGTTGATTCCTACATTGGCATCTAGGATTAATTGTTGGGAGGATCTCATGAACAACTAAATCGCAACAGTATGCACATGTCGGCTCAGCCTGGCATGTAACTCATGAGCAAACGATATTCAAAAGCTACCATATATATGGGACCAAGCATCAGCACGCCAGTACTGTAGATGTCCATCTGAAACCATCATCTTTGGACCTGTATGGCAAAAGGCGAAAAAAGAGCTATCTACCTAGCATTCCTCTAGTTAGGCAAGAAACGAAATCAGCATCATTTTATGGAATCACTTCACTGTGAAACCACATATATCTGCTGCTGCTTCAGCTGGATCCTTCAAGCAGCAGCAGGCTGGCTCTTCTTCATTTTTTGACGCGTTTTCTTTGACTTCTCAACACAGAACTTCTTGGTGTCAGCACCCTTCAAATTGAATTCCACCAGGAGCTCTTCAAACAGAACCTTCGTGTCGGCATTGAAGGATGGGGTACGTCGACCTGCACCTGCACGCTTCTTTGGCTTCACTGCGTTGCTGCTGCTGGATCCTTCAGCATTTGCATTTTCCAGCTCCTTGCCCTCATCGTCCTCATCAGGAACAACAGACCCAACTTCGTTACCCTCCATGTAATATTTGCATGCAGCCAGAATGGCATGGCCACGTTCACGAAAGTGGCCGGCGACAAGATCTTCAAAGTGCTGAAACAAGCAAAGCAACAACCAGCAAAAAAAGGTTATTTAATATTCTGGTATGTGAGCTATGCAATCTAAGCCTCTTAGTCCACTACACCCTACTGAAGATAACAATTAGTACTACCATATTACAGCCAAATTAAGTGCCAGATTGTGGTTGTTGTTCTGTGCAACACTGAAAGCTAGATATGAAGTCTAGCAACCTTTACCGATCCTAGCAAGATTTCACTGTTATGGCTCCAAAATGTATACCCGTGACTAGTATAAATGACTGTTATATCCAAAACGGTGTTAGTTCCCTTGCTACCATGAAATTCTCATCCTTCTTACTTGGCGTAGATCCAGGATAACACAAGAACAGAGTACAAGCTAATTGTTGAGTATAAGGATTATTAGGAAGTATAGGATAGACTAGGATTTGGTCCTGCCTTGTCTTGTACTCCAAGTTGGTCTTTGTACTCCAAGTTGGTCTTTGTACTCCTATATATATGCCCACGAGGCTCAAGCAATAGATTAAACTATTCCACCATATCCCTCTCTCCCTTCTGACATGGTATCTATCGCAAGTCGGTCCTAAACCCTAGCCGCCGCCGCTTCCGCACCCGCGCGCCGCCCCCGGGGTGGTCGGCCTCCATGACCGCCGCCGGGGCCGCACCGCCTAGGGTTCGTCCGCCGACCGTGTTGGCCGGCTGCCCTAGAGAGTCTTTTTTCCCGATCCTTTGATCCGGATTTTCTCTCTCTCGCCGGTTGCTTTGATCGGCGTCTACTTTTTGGTTTTCCGGTCTATGTGATCCGGTTTGCGTCGCCCACCGCCGCCGTCGATCCCGTGCGCCTCTACTCCAACACCGGCGCGATTGGCCGGCTTCTTCACCGACCCGGCGGCCTCGCGCGTCGTCCGCGCGTCGGCCCGCCGGTCGCGCCGACCCGGCTGCCTCGCGTCATGCGGCGGCCCTTTACCGCCGCCACTCGCGCGCCGGCCCGCCCGTCGATCTACGCCGGCCATCACCGCCCTGCTCTGACTGGGACTCCTGCATCACCCCGACCCGGCGGCCTCGCGCCATGCTGCGGCCAATCATAGCCGCCCTGCCGCCTGCCGCCGCCGGCTTCATCCGGACTCCGCCGCCGCCGCGCCTCCACCGAGCGGCGTCCCCGACCTCGCGCGCGATCGGATTGATCACTCGCTCGCCGCCGCGATCCGCCTCATCTATGCCGCGCAACCGACTTGGCCTGTCGGTTACGCGCGCCTCCGCAGGTCCCGTGAAGACCGTCCCCGAGTTCAGCACGCCTCTCCACCGATCGAGCATTAGGCTGTCGCTGCGTCGCCCCGTCGGGCCGCAGCGCCGCTGCCCCGTGGTTCTTCTCCCGGCTGCACCGACCCGTGTCACCGCTGCATCGCCCCTTAGGGCCGTAGTGTCGCGGCCCGCGGCCCCGCGCCGCCCCGAGGGCGTCCGCTCTAGGCCGTCCCGTGGCTGCATCGACCCTCGCGCTGCCGCTGCGTCGCCCTGTCGGGCCGTAGCGAGTGTGGCACGCGGTCCACGCTGTTGTCCCGAGGCCGTTCCCGTGGTTGCACCGACTCGCGAACCGCCGTTGCGTCGCCCCTTCGGGCCGCAGCGTCCCGGCCCGCGGTCCCCGCCGCCGCCCCGAGGTCTTCCCGCCGTCGCCCCGACCCGCCTACCGCCGCTGCGTCGCCCCTTGGGCCATAGCGCCGCGGCCGGCGATCCTCTCCGCCGTCACCGCGCGTCGACCTCCCGTGGTATGCGCCGCGCCGTCTCCCTTGGCGCGGGAACACCACCGTCCGCGCCGGTCTTCGTCACGCTGTCAGGGTTCTTCGCCTACTTCGAGCACCGCCGTGGCACTCCTAACCTAGCCGCCGCCGCTCTTCTTTGGCCGCCGCCGCCCGTCCACCCCCTTCGTCTTCGTCCAAGCACCAGCCCGTCGCCAGCGTCGTCGTCATCTACCCCGACCACTTCGTCTAATCCGACCACCGTTGGTGACATCGGCCCCGCGCCGATACACGCCGCAATCATCGTCGAGTTCTTCTCTGCTGGCCCCTCCGACTTCTCCGACATGGCGTACAGCTCGTGCAGGTCCCTCGTCTATGCATGCCCGATGCTGGCAACACCGATGCGTGCCTTCATCCAAGATGTGTCCCCGGGCCTGGCAAGCCTGGTCGGCGCTTCGTCAACTTCGTCTTCATCCGTCTACGCATGCCCTGTGCTGGCAACACCGGTGCGTGCCTTCGTCCACGGTGTGTCCCTGGGCTTGGCAAACCCGCCGCGACGCGTCGTCAACACATCTTCCTTCCGGCGCACCACTACCTCGTCACCACTGCACCCATGACTAACTCGGCGCCCTCTTGCGCCCGCGGCTCCACGACAACTTCCTCGACACCGGCCACCCCGACTCGACATCGACCACGGCATTCTTCGCACGGCTACCTCGACCACGGCTCCACCACCCACGCTCTCGGCTACATCGACAAACGGCACAAAGGGCTACCGCCTTGCTTGAGCAATCTCGTCGGTTGCCACTCCAGCCACGACTCCGCGATGCGTCGACCGTTACGACTGTGGGGGGTGTCCGTCAACTTGCCTTCGGATTCTTCTCCAGTCTCACCGTCTGCGTCGCTACCGTTGTGACTGTGGGGGGATGTTGAGTATAAGGATTATTAGGAAGTATAGGATAGACTAGGATTTGGTCCTGCCTTGTCTTGTACTCCAAGTTGGTCTTTGTACTCCTATATATATGCCCACGAGGCTCAAGCAATAGATTGAACTATTCCACCATATCCCTCTCTCCCTTCTAACACTAATGTCCAGGAGGTGGAAGACCTTCTATCCCATATGAATCCATCATGTTTCAAATGTGCTCAAGATTCCGACAGTTAGTGATGTTTTCTCTAGAGAAAAGCCCACCATTGAACTGTGAACTCTGGCAGAAGTTCATTTTTCAACCTGAACAGCTGAACTCAAACCATTTGATCCACATCCTCAAACTGTAGAGACGGATGATGCCACATGTGCAA